AACCTGAACACAAAAGAAAAAAAAAGAAAAAACACAAAATCACATACACTCTCAATTCATTGGACTCTAATCTGCTTTGAACCAGTACCTTAAAAATATGCATAACATCACTCACAACGCCAAAAATCCACAGTGAGTACTCCTTTCTATCTGTGCGCACATACACCTCGTGTTTAACGCGTTCCCTTTTCCAGAACCTTATAAAACTCTTTTTCCCGCCTTGTTCATCTTGCATTTCTATTTAGGCGCAGAACTTTTCCTTGATCTCGTACCACGAGATAATCTACTTGTTTCCATCTAATTAAAGTTACACATGTTTTACAAACAGATGTCTTTGTCATTTTATTCCGGCTATCTCTTTGATGTTTATTAATTTATGCACTTGTTGATTGACCCCTTTCCTCTCACTGTTCATTCACGCATTATTATATTTTTTTACACATTGCTTGTGGACTCGGTAGTTTAGTGCGGTGTCTGGCACAAGGCCACTTTGTAATACACCAGCACTGCACGCTGCCGGGTCCGCAACAAGCTAAAAAGAAAGCTTCAAAATGCTTTTTCATTTAAAAAAAAATTTATTTTAAACCTTAGGTATCGAAAATTAGTGGAGGTACCTACTATCATAGTATTAACTAACTACGTGTATATCTAAATTAATTTATAAATACATTAATATTAATTTATATATATTTAAATTAATTGATATATACGAAGTTTGATCAAAAAGTATCAGGACTGGTGCTATAAAAAACAATGTGGACTGATGTATACTGTACATTTGCTGTTAAAGCGTTTTTTTTTTAAACTGGTATATCTGTAATTGCAACACAGAGTGCTTTTCATACTCATTTAATGTTACGTTGGAATGATGCTGTTCCGGATAGAAAATCGATACTGCTATGGGTTGAAGAGTTCAGGGCCACAAGTTCCAGGGCTTAATAAGAAAGCCATCCTGAAGACCTCGAAGCGTTCGAACTTCAGGGTGATAGAAAACTCTAGAAATCGTCTACAGCAGTATGCGGCGAATAGAGGCCATCATTTGGAGGATGCCATTTTAAAAACGAAATGAATAAAAACTGTAGCCCTTTGTTTAAACAACAGTGAAATAAATATTTTAAAAGCCGTTACCTTGGACTTTTTGTCAACCTGTAAAATGTGGAAAGTATTTGTGCCGCACCCTATATAAGTATAATGTTATTTCTAAATAAGAAATGAATTTGTATTTATTAATCCGACTGATTTTATAACTTTAAACGTTATTTTTAGTGGATATTCATATTTAAATAGACGTTCCGTTTTTTTTATTAAACGGTATCCGACGTGCTGTAACCGACTCGGCCACGAAGAAGCTTTACCGATCAAGCAAGGCTGAATAGTGTCTTTAAGCGTCAATAGACTCTCGAAATTTTTATATCTGCTCCGTTTCGTATCCAAAGACAAACAAAGCGATTTCTAAAGAACTATGTCGATTAAGGAACTTCTGCACAGGGGTCGCAGGTTCGGATCCTGCCAGAGAGCGCAAATTTTTATTTAATAAGATTTTTGAATATTTGGGTTAATAGACTAAAATGAGTAAATATACTTTTTATAAATAAACTGAACGTCTACTCAAATATGGGCAACCACTAAAAATAACGTTTATAGTGATAAGTCAGTTATGAGCCATGCGTGATACACGCTTAGGGGATCATGTATCTTTCAATACATGACTGACGAGGCAGATTTTTTTCCCGCAGTAGGTTACCATTTCTTTCTGCGGTAGACTAGTTGCTATCCAAGGCTATAGAACACGACCTGTTCTGCTATTTTTACCCATAGCTGGGGTGGGGAGAAGAGAATTTATACTTTTACCATTAGCACGTAAGTGAATGTAATCGATTCGACTGGAATTCGAACTCGACTCTCCGATTCCTCAATCCGAGTCGCTATCCATTACACCACCGTAAAAAAAAAATAAAGCAATATAATAAAATAAAAAAAAAAAAAAGTTTTTAATTTTTTTAAAAAAAGTGCTCGTTAAAATGAATAATGTAGAAAACGTTTGTTTTTCTTTATTAATAAACACGGTAGAAATATTTTCGGCATTATATGACCTGGAATTTCAATATTATACTTTTTTTCCATTGTTCGCGTAATTTCAGATTTTGTGGGATGAGGGTACAATTTAGTAGTCAGAACACGAAACAATAAAAACTATTTATTGGTTACTTATTACAAACAGACTCATAAGGGATAAATATGTACTAATTCGTCAGAAAAGTCAACAAACACCTCTTCCTCACGTTTGCCTGACTAATTGCTAAAAATAGAAATTTTGGTAATTGTACACGTGGTTCAGTGTTGTCTCGTCAATACACTGAGTCTTTCTTTTCCAAATTTCTGAGGCTCCACGAGACAGAAAAAAAACCCTTCCTCTCTCCCCCCTACTGAGATTTATAAAACGAATTAGAACATTAACCTTCTTCTTTTACACTAGATGACACTTCACACGTCCTATATTATATACATATATATATATATATATATATATATATATATATATATATATATATACACACACACATCCATATGAAATGAGAATGAATCAAATATAAATTCAAAGGTTTATAACATTAATTTAAAAAAGGGCTCAATACAATTCAATAGTAGAGCAAAAAAAGAGTGGTTTATACATGTTTGAACGTAACATCCTATAATAAAGTATATATATATATATATTAAGAAATGGACAAAGTCCGACAATTTATTTTATTAAAGACATTTTTATGTTTAACGTTCTTTTTATAGATACAAGTATTTAAGTAAATGCTCTGTTTATAATAAACAGTATTAAATAACATTTACCGGACTGAATGTCCGAGAAATTTTCATAGAAAATATTCGTCCTTTGACAGGATTCGAACCTGCATCCTATGAGCGTTCGGTAGGCAAGGTCGAATTTACTGCTTATAAACTTTAATCTTCCATGAATCTCATACATCCTATACGGAACCGTCATTTACGCTGACGTGCCTTAACCGACTCGGCCACAAAGGAGCGTTCGGTAGGCAAGGTCGAATTTACTGCTTATAAACTTTAATCTTCCATGAATCTCATACATTCAGGCCGGTAAATGTTATTTAATACTGTTTATTATAAACAGAGCATTTACTTAAATACTTGTATCTATAAAAAGAACGTTAAACATAAAAATGTCTTTAATAAAATATATATATACATAAAGAAAGAACAGTAAGATATATAATCCGGTGTTCTTATAGATATTTCTATTTTTACAAAATAGTGCTCAATGTAAATTTACAAAGCATTAACATTAGAAATTAATTTATTTAAAAAAATATATATATATATATATATATATATATATATATATATATATATATATATATATATATATATATATGGGGTACTAAAAGTTCAACTCACTTTAAAAATCTGACCAAACATCTGAGTTATGGGGAATCTTCTTTCTGCCAGGCTGCGGCTGGGAACTTTTCGAGATATCCCAGTACATATATATATATGTATATATATATATATATTGATAATATTAGTAATTAATATACACATATATATATATGTACATATATCTAAAACACACAAATATATATACAAACGTACATACACACATACATATATATATAAATACGATCCCAATGTAATAAATTATGATCATGGAGTACTAGTGTTTAAGCCTTTTTATTTATATATATATATATATATATATATATATATATATATACCGGGTGTAACAGTAAAATTGTCTAAATCGTATAACAGCATGGGATAACTGTACATCCCACAAAGTGTTTAATATAAAAGAAGAACACTAAACTAATTGAGTTTCTTTTTCCAGGTTTTCAGATAAGACGTTTAGCCGTCTTGTCGTAAGAATCACTGAAAAGCCTTTGAGTTATTCAGCTAGAACGAGAAAAGATTAAAATCGTTTTGTGTGTCAGCCCCACTATGTCTTCCCAATTGAGCAATGGTAAGAGGAAAAAGATGCTTCAGACCGTCAGTAATGGTGCGAACATTGGCGAACTTTGGCTTCCATCTTCAAAGTCCATTCAAGAACCATCAAGAGAACGGTGAATAAGTTTTTAAAAAGAGAAAGCAATAGCGAGGAAAATTGGATCAGGAGGTCACCAGGGATCATCCTTTCAACAGAGCTAAATATATTCCTATTGTTCAAAGTAGAATCCAATAGCGTTGTAAAAATTTCGGAGAATTCCAGTAATTCTAATCATTACTAAGATACAATAGTTCAAATCGTAATCTAACAATTGGACAATTTTGCTGTTACAACCTTTATATATACATAAATATATATATATATATATATATATGTGTGTGTGTATATATATATATATATATATATATATATATATATATATATATATATATATATATATATATATATATATATATATATATATATATATATATATATATATATATATATATATATGTATATATATATATATATATATATATATATATATATATATATATATATATATATATATATATATATATATATATATATATATATATATATATATATATATATGTATATATATATATATATATATATATATATATATATATATATATATATATATATATATATATATATATATATATATATATATATATATATATATATATATATATATATATATATATATATATATATATATATATATATATATATATATATATATATATGTGTATTTAGACAACATTTTTTTCAATTTTATTAAACTGCATTAAGTCGCAAAGTAAAAGTCTGATAATGGCCTTTTAAAGGACGGACCGCATTACATAGAATATTTTCCACTTTGTCATTCAATTACCCACTATATTGTTATATGGATATTATACGTGCGAATTATTAGAGGTCGCAGATCTAAACACATTTATGAACAAACTTATTAACTCATAAATAATACCCACGAATGTATTCTTTCTTTCTTTCTTTCTTTCTGTCTGTCTCCTAGCGTAGCTATTTTATTATATTCATATCTATCTATCTATCTAAGTATGTTCATATCTATCTATCTATCTATCTATCTATCTATCTATCTATCTATCTATCTATCTATCCCAGACTGTGCACCTGTATCACTTGATATATTTCTGCATATATTTGAGGATAAGTCAAGCGATGGTATTATTCGGAATCGATTTTTTAATCGTTTCATCCCAAGCAAGGCAATAAAGCCACTAAGACATAGGGGGGGGGCAGGTTACAGGAAGTAAAAAGGCATGAGAAGACTTTAGTGAAGAGGAAAAGGACAATAAAGTAACAAGATTAAGAAAGACATTGACGTCGCATTTCAATTTATGAAAATCGAAGGTGGGAAGGAAGCAAGAAATCGGAAAGTTGTTCCACAGGTGAGAAGTGCGAGAAAAAAAAGGCCATTATAATAGGAGTGACGGTTGCATCTAATTCAACCGTAAACCGGTGGGACCCAGTTGCCAGTCTTGTAGCACGCTTAAATTCTCGCAGTCGAGGTACCAGGGAATAAAAACGCATTAGAAGAGTTGCCATGAAAATATTTGTAGAAAAGACAGAGGGAAGCCACGTCGGTGAGAAAGTGAATGAAGTCGAGATGTCAGGTTACGATTGATTACATTAAAGATCCTTCCTTGAATTTTGTAAAGAATCTCAAGTTATATATTGTTTTGGTGCATAATTATCAATCGTTTTATACAATATACTGTGAAAAACGCCTGATAATTATGCACCAACCCAATAAATTCTATTGCTGGTAATAATGTATTGCTGGTAATAATTTTTTACAAAGTATTTCTGGTATTAAAACCTATTTTTTCACTTTCATAGTGTTTTGGCCCCAATTAGGGGGTTAACTATTTGTCCATAGCTGGGACCCTAACAGGTGCTACCATTTCAGGTCAAAGTGGACTTGGGGACACCAGCAATTAAGAGGTGGTTCCACGCTCTTCAAAACCTCCTGATCAGAGGTCTTGCTGTTGGACAAGTCCGACAATTATTTATGAACAGTAATTCGGACTTTGCTAACCAGACACTTCTTTGTGGCTGAATGGTTAACAGCACATCAGATCAAATGATGGTTCTTATTTGGCTTGCAGGTTCGATTCCTGTCGGAGAAGCACATATTTTATACGAAATTTCTCGAACATTCAGGCCGGTAAATGTAATTAATACTGTTTATTTAAAACAAAAAACGGAGCATTTACCTAAATAAATTGTATCTGTTAAAGTAACGTATAAACAGATTTTTATTTATTTATATATATATATATATAATTGTTTAATAAATAACTAGAGTATCAACTCATGTATAGGTATCCATGAAAAATAACGTTTAAGCAATATATATATATATATATATATATATATATATATATATATATATATAGAGAGAGAGAGAGAGACGAGAGTCTTACACAAGCCTGAATAAGAGTGGATCGATTTAGGGCAGGGAGTTTGGGGAAAATATTTTGAAGCTGTAACTAAAGATATTTGGTTTTTTTTTTTTTTTTTTTTGTTTTTTAACTTTGGCATAAGGCCAAATCTAATGAGGAGCGGGACAGGATCCAGGAAGATTGTGTTGCTTCATTCTTTTAAGTGGGGAGCAAACCTTTGCTGAAAAACGTTATATGCATGTTTACTGTGTTTAGTTTAAATACAAAACCAGTGTTAAATACAGAGTACCAAAGTTGTTCTGCACCAGTATTTTCAGTGTGCGTGTGTGTTGGGGGGGGGTAGCTTACCCGCATTGAGTTATTGCACGGGGATATTTGTGCACACCCACAGAGACGCACGCAACTGACGTTGCGATGTGCTATTTCTTTGTGTCTGTGTGTTCGCCTCGTTGTTAAAAATGTATAACAAACGAAACAATCGCGTGTTTTAATGTAAACCCCTTCCTCGACTTTAAAAAAACAAAAAAAAAAAAAAACGATTAGACCTTTCAAATTCGAAATGGTAAGATGGTAACATATCAAAATGGTAAAATGGTAACATATCAAAATAAATAAATTTATGATATTTTGCTTACATATGATATGTTTAACAAACATATTCTTGAAGGTAATGAAATTTACTTAATTATTTCTTTAGCACTAAGCAGACGCAATTTAATTTATAAATTTGATTTAATTATATAATCACAGTCCCTTCGTATCTATCTATCTATCTCATTCTGTTCATATCTATCTATCTATCTATCTATCTATCTATCTATCTCATTCTGTTCATATCTCTCTATCTCTCTATCTATCTATCTCATTCTGTTCATATCTATCTATCTATCTATCTATCTATCTATCTATTTCATTCTGTTCATATCTATCTATCTATCTATCTATCTCATTCTGTTCATATCTCTATCTATCTATCTATCTATCTCATTCTGTTCTATCTATCTATCTATTCTATCTCATTCTGTTCATATCTCTATCTATCTATCTATCTATCTCATTCTGTTCATATCTATCTATCTATCTATCTATCTCATTCTGTTCATATCTCTATCTATCTATCTATCTATCTCATTCTGTTCATATCTCTATCTATCTATCTATCTATCTCATTCTGTTCATATCTATCTATCTATCTATCTATCTATCTATCTCATTCTGTTCATATCTCTATCTATCTATCTATCTCATTCTGTTCATATCTATCTATTTCATTCTGTTCTATCTATATATCTATCTATCTATCTCATTCTGTTCATATCTATCTATTTCATTCTGTTCTATCTATATATCTATCTATCTATCTATCTATTTCATTCTGTTCTATCTATCTATCTATCTATCTATTTCATTCTGTTCATATCTATCTATCTATCTATCTCATTCTGTTCATATCTCTATCTATCTATCTATCTCATTCTGTTCATATCTCTCTATCTATCTATCTCATTCTGTTCATATCTCTCTATCTATCTATCTATCTCATTCTGTTCATATCTATCTATCTATCTATCTATCTCATTCTGTTCATATCTATCTATCTATCTATCTATCTCATTCTGTTCATATCTCTATCTATCTATCTATCTCATTCTGTTCATATCTCTCTATCTATCTATCTATCTCATTCTGTTCATATCTATCTATCTATCTATCTCATTCTGTTCATATCTATCTATCTATCTATCTCATTCTGTTCATATCTATCTATCTATCTATCTATCTATCTCATTCTGTTCATATCTCTATCTATCTATCTATCTCATTCTGTTCATATCTCTCTATCTATCTCATTCTGTTCATATCTCTCTATCTATCTATCTATCTATCTATCTATCTCATTCTGTTCATATCTCTCTATCTATCTATCTATCTCATTCTGTTCATATCTATCTATCTATCTATCTCATTCTGTTCATATCTATCTATCTATCTATCTATCTTCATATCTATCTATCTATCTATCTATGTTATCTATAATTCGGTTAATTTATTTCTTTTTCTTTCTCTGCCTAAACATTTTATTTTTGTTTCAGGTTGTTTTATTCAATTTTAATTGAGATTTTGTGTCGCTGTCACTTCCTCGTAAACAAGTGTCGTTCAAATTTATTTGTTTTTCTTTCATATTTCTATTTCTGTGTTTAATTTAACAGAAATCAAACCACAACAATAAATAAATAAATTTAGGCTAAAAATTTAGTTATCAGGAAATAAAAATGTCTTCTTACACAAGGTTGCGAGATACATATTACTTTTTAACTTCGCCTTTCTCTTGAACTTGATGAAAAATGAAAACACATTTTTCCGGGACATGCTTATTTTAAACAACCAGTGCCATATTTAAACGAAAACTGGATTCAGGCATTCATTTATTTTGTCCGTAAAGAAGAAAAGTTAAATAAAAAAATAAAAATACTTAGTTCATTGGCTTTAAACTTTAAATCAAACGTAAAGCCAAATGTCTACTGCGTAAATAAATACACATTGTATTGTGTATGTCCTTTTAGTTGTCATACTGTATCTTTATATATGTGTGTGTGTGTGTGTGTGTGTATTTATATTACAATTATCATAATATCTAATAATTTAGGGGATCAGTTTATTACTTAATAACAGTAGAAAACCAATACCCCACTTTATGACCAGCAGGCTAGTCTTAATACTTTTTTTTATGCAATGTCTTTTTCAGCACGTGGCCGATCACGACTTTCCACAGATTTAGGAGAGTGGTTTCCTGTTCTATGATTTGAAATTAAGAGTTTTCCTTCTCTTAATTTGGCTTCCGTTCAAATATAACGAGTTCAGTCTGCCTTGCTATTTTTTAACCTTAGCTTAGCTGGAAGAACAGATGGGCTCATGCCTTTCTCAAAGGCATTTATTCGAAAGTGTACACAATGAGGCTAACCCAAAATTTGAACTCTGTTTTTTACCTGTTTCCACTTTCTTATCTGTTACACTACACAAACATCTATACTGGTTTTGCCGCCAAAAAGTAACTGTTGATAAAAATGGAAATTTTTAACCACTTTGTTTTCGCATGTGAATTTTTTTTAATATGGCCAGTGCAAGGGAGATAATTCTCTGCAGAGGTTAATAGATATAAAAAAAAAACATACAAAAATCTTGAAAAACGTATGTACAATTCGTAACATAATTTGATAAAATCATTTTCTAAAGACACGGGTATACAATTCGTGTACACACACCAGTCTGTATTTGCAGATGTCCGTGTACATGAACGCTGACAGGTTCGACTTGTTTTCATACTTCTAAAATACGGGCTACCCATGTTGTCAGCCTATCTACACACACGCACGACGTCACACATGCATGAATGACGGCTTCTGCTCTGTGTCTGTGTGTTTGTCTTTTTACTTATCACAATCGGTTTATCTCTAAAGCTTCAATGGTTAGCGCGCTGGTCTAGTTGACCAGTGGGCAGTGAGCTCGATCCTCACTGGCTGCCCTGGTCTAGTAAAGAAAGAGCAACTTCATACCATTAATAGCTACACACACACACACACACACACACACACATATATATATATATATATATATATTATATATATTTAAAAGATGCATCAAAATAAATGGGTCTTCTTCAAGGGGTCCCATCGAATGTAAAGAGCCATTCCAACTAGAGGGGCCCAAATACTCTAAACTGTTCAAATTAATTCAAAGGAGCCCAGTTAAATCTGAAAATAAACAAATATCCTCTGTTCTTATATTTTTTATTTAGTTTTATCTTGGGGATCCCTACTCTTAGAGATTCTAGGCTGAAGCCCATACCAAGCTGTATGTAAATCCGACACTGAAAATAGATTTACTTTGAGTGATCACAACTAAAGATATTCGTTTTTTAGACCGTTGTATGGTTGTGAAAGAAAGTTCTCCGTGGCTGAGCGAGTTAACGCGCACCGGATGACGGTGGCTCCCCTCTATAAGAGGGTTAAAGGATTGAACTCTGTCAAAAGACATATTTTATTTAGTAAGATTCTCGAATGCACAGTCCGGTAGACATAAAAAAACTGAACCGTCTTCTCAAACACATGTACATGTGTCTGTGTGAGTGGGAGGATGGGAGAGAAACTGAAAGAGAGCAAGTAACAATATTCAAAATTTAATACGTGGAATAGCGAGCATACAAAGATTTTAGAAGCATATAAAAAAAAGTTACAAAAACACAGTATCAACGCGCGCGCACACACACAAACACATCGACCTACAGGACACATTTGTAGTTTTGAAACATAATTGCCATTATGTAGCGATTTTTAACATGTTTTAAAATCCTAAAATACTCTGTATTGAGCACTCTTTTAAATTAAATGTTACGTACAGTGTTACTTACGTTTGTTCTCATCGTGTATGTATGTTTGTGTAAGTATGAGTGGCGTTCCGACGACAATTCCCCCCCCACTTCCATAAAAACACCGATATACGCAACCATATATAAATCTAAAATTTAAAAATTAATCTGCTTGTCTGACGATCTCAAATAGTGTGAAACCCAGGGTCACAAACTCACATCAATCCAACTAAATATATCATAACGGCGGGCTCCTCTCCTGCCCACCCCAAATCACCAAGTATAAAAATCTAATATAAGATTAGAAACGAGCGGGTATACTAGTAAAAAAAGATAAAATATAACGTTTTTCCCACTAAGTGTTGTTGCTTTGAATAAACTGAAAAAAAAAAAAACCAAAAAAACCCTTAAGGTTTGTCACCCTTGGACAGTTAACTATGAGCCTTTGCAACATGTCACAGTAAGTCAACTCAAAAATGTGCCTTCCTTTATATAATTCTACATCAAGCGACTCACTTTCCCTGGAAATGAGCAAGCGCCTAGCGTTAAAAAAACAACAAAAAACTCTCAAACTTTTGAAGCTATATGTCATTCTTTTCTCAGTCAATATGCGTGCACTTCCTTTATTTCCTGTGAAAATGACATTTACTAAACAAATTTATGTCAGGCACGTACGTATATTCGTATATTTTTAAAATAAGATTCATACACAGAAAATCAACGTATAAAACAACTATCAAATGCTTGTCTCCGTTGGCAGATACATAATTAAAAGAAAAAACTTGTAGTTCCAACGAATGTACAAGTTTTTTTCTTTTAATTAAAACAACAACTATTTAAAAATGTAAATAAATTGCATTTTAAAATTTTACTAGTGTTATTGAAAATTTTAATTGTGATTTACTATGACTAATCATCAATGACATCATAAAAGAATTATCATTTTTTTTTCTTAGTTCTCTTCTTTTTGGATGAAAATTAGTCAGGGAAACGAGAAGAACAATGTGATTGAAATCAGTAGAATGTTGCATCCGAAGACAACAACACTACGTGTTGGTATTATTGGGGCTTTGGGGAATGTTGCATCCGAGGACAACAACATTTACGTGTTGGTATTGGGGATTTTCGGAATGATATCAAAAGGATAGCAAACAAATGTGTAATTAATTCCTGGCAACGAGAATTGCAAAAGAAAGAATACAATTCAGTAGATGTTTCTTCTCACTTTTTGCATCAATTTCTCTTCGTGCAGTGCAGTGACTACAATTGCATTTTTTTTTACTCTGCTGATTGCATCGCGCCTCATCTGTTTTTGCATCTTCTGTTAGTGTTAATTCACTCCAAAATAAAAAGAATATATATGTACTAAATAAAATTCACGCCAAATTCTCCCAGAGCGAAGCCCTTCCATTGCACTTCAGTTGGGCTGACGTTTGAGATCGCCCGAAATGTGGGCGAGTCAAGTGCGCTGTTTCTAAGTGTGAGGTCTGCATTTTGCTCACCCCGATAAACACGACAAAAACAGATTTAAATTTTTTTTTTTTTAATTGTAAAAAATTCCGTATAAGTACCTCGAATATCATCCGCACTTACGAAATATGAATAACTCTCTGATTTTTAGTCATTTTTCTGGGGGTTGGAGTTGTTGCGAGGCAAGCTAAACAAATTTTGACTTTTATAAGAGTGCCAACAATTTAATAAAAATACAATCTTTGATTTAAAATCTATAATTTATTTGGGGGAATTAATTTGTGATCAGTAACTTTTTACAGTCTTTGGGGCGAATAAACAGAAAAGATCTGAAACTCTTAAAAAAAATAAAAATAAAACACACGCGCATAGCACTAAAAATGAAGAATGTATAGCGGCCTCGTCAATAGCGTCATTTCGAATCGTGCTTAATAAGGTTGTCATGCAGCCCATTGTTATGAGTTCAATACTCACTAAGTGACTTGTACATGCAGCCTTGTGTCGTACTAATCACAATCGTACATAAAGAGTCTCATGTCGTGAACAGTAACTAAAAATGAATTTCAAAATAGTACCGAAAAATAAAAATATATATTGCATGTAGGACGATCCTTTTCCTGTCAAATCTGAAAGAAAATAATGCAAGTACCAACTTCACAAAAATATTTTTGGAGTTTTATTGAATTATTTTTGTTAATGTTGATATAGGAAAACAATTCAAGAACACACCCACCAAATTTAAAAAAAAAAAAAAAAAAAAAAAAAAAAAAATTAAGTTCTGTTCGCGAACGAAACGGGGAATGAGATTGGCCTTCCTAAAAATATTTCAACGATATTTAAAAAAAAAAAATAATGTCCTATTCAACATAATATTAATTAATTAATCAATAAGTAGTGAAAATTTAATTTAAACTGGACATTTCCCTGATTTTTGGTATTCTTTTTTTTATTTTCTTAATTAGGGATAACATTTTTTGCTTTCGGTATTGAAATTGCGCACGCGTTTTTCTCGCAAATGACAAGTGTCTCTCAATCAGCGGGAATCACGCCGTGGCTCATAGGGTTGTCAAGTTTAATTAATCCCTACTGGGGATGAAACGCTTTATAAATTATTTCACTCGCGGTGCTATGACACTGTGTCTTACAAAAGTAAGCTTACTGAATAATTAAAAACTTTAAATGCAACATTAGACGACAATTTCAACTAGGGAGAGAATAGAAATCGTGATCAGCGTTTGCGTAAAAATGACATTTTTATAGTTAAAAAAATGCCAAGTATATCGATTAAATAGCACAAACGAAAAATATAATTTGAATTTAATATTAATGTATATTTTTTATATTGTACAAAGAAAAAAAAGAGGAAATTAGATCAACAGAGCAGCTTTCTTAGCAACCTTTTCTGCTCGCTACACGAGCACTGACTGAAGCATCAACGAGGGAAATCCCCTGATGACGTAACAGATATCTGACCAATCAGAAAGCTCGTTGCAATTTGCAGGCCACACGAACAAAATGAGTGAGAGAGAAAGCAAATACATTGAGAAAGATTCAACAGGGAAGAAAAAAAAAAAAAAAGCAACAAGGAAACTAAAACCGACAGCAACAAAAATCAGAAAGCAAACGAATGGTTGAACAATGGTGGGAGGGAAGGAAAGAGGTAGAACAAGTTTGTGAACGTTAGTGAAACGACGAAGAAGAGAAAGTCTACTGTAGCGGAGGGCGCCTGTATAACAACAGGGTGCCTTTCTTTCTGACAGTCTTTCTTGACAGCAGCAGTTGTGGCGAGTACAGTTCCTGTATGGATTTTTGTCTGTCTGTAGGTGACGCAAAACACACTCTCTCTCTAGGGACACGCCAATCTGAGGCTCAACAAACTAGAGCTGCACACACGCACTAATCATTTATTAAATACAGACCACTGAGAGCAGACATCGTTAATTTTAAAAAAAGCCATCTTGGCTGTGTATATTCAAGTCTCGCACGCTCAACACATTTTAAACCGCTTATTTTATTTTACCGGCATTTTTGCCTAAAGAAGAATGGATAAACAAATTCAGACTCGTCTCTGAGCGATAAGACAAACCAATAATCTCTGACCAATTTAGCTTTAATCATCTGGGATTTCTTAATCGTCAACCCTCCAGAGTAAATGCTGTGTTTGTCATCATCTCGGGACGTGTATCCTTATCTCTGTGGCCGTAGAAACTGCTTTTGGCCTGATCTTCTTAAACAAAGTCTTCTCCTGGGGAAAATGCTACAACTACTGCAGATTCCTGGATATTTTCCATAGCCGCAAAAAACAATACTCCGGGCTCTTAAAAAAAAACACGGTCTTCTCTGTGGAGATAATTTAAAGTTCGAGGAAAACTACCTCAAGACCTGCACGATTTTATTTATACTGGTAACTGGATAAGAATCTCTATAACCCATATAACCCATGGATTTTCTTTTTCTTGAAAACTGGGCTTACACGAAAGCAATTTTGTGATATTTTTAGGAGCTTGCTTAAAAAAAAATATCGTTGCTGGAATGGTTTTGTAAATAAACTGGAGCCGGACTTCCACTTTCGTGCACACCCGCACCGTATTTCATTCATTAGATGCATTATTTTTTTTACGATCATTCTATCTTTTTATTTAACCCACCACAACGGCATCACTGAAAATTGTCCTTCCGTTCAACAACAAAAAAATTTACACACACACACACACACACACACACACACACACACACACACACACACACATATATATTATCAAAATAGACTTTATTGCAAAAATATAAATTTTTACAATTCATGGGTTAAATAAAATCTACTTCTTTTTTTCTCTCTTCTGTCTCTTTTTTTTTTCTTCTTTTTCTTTCTTAAACAATTGTTGCATCCCGTCGGGGCTCGGAATTAAACACCCCACCTAAAATATATATTTATATAAACTTAAAAACACACATTATCCCCCCCCCCGCAAAACTAACCTACTTTAAAACAATTATTCCAAACTTCTTTCTGCTTTTGTTCTAAGTTTACTATTTTTCGTTCATAATTTTCACAACCAATTCTCCCTACTCGTCTTTCTTGACAACGATCTCTCTGGAATCATGCCGGCCAAGAATCCTCCCGAAGAGGAAGGAGTAATGGTCACTGAGATGGCTACTACCACAACCTCGAGTAACCGACCTGTAATTCATACACATAGACATAATTTGAGACATCGATTTGAAATGAAAGACACAATTGGCGAAGGGACTTATGGCAAAGTTAAGATGGCAATTGAACGAGCAACCGGTGAGAAGGTAAACATTTTGTTTTATTTACTTATAAAAATAAAATCTGAGTAGTTAATAAATAATTCTAATCTTAAGTTCACACTACAGTCTTTTATTGAAGAGTTTTTAAAGTGCTTATTTCTCTGAAGAAACTACACAAAATCGAAAACTTGTGATTGCAGAAAAATGTCAAAGTGTATGTGCATCTGTGTAAATCTGAAAAAAAAATTACAATATTTGACCTTTCTTGACTGGTAAAGGAAAAATATTTTCTCAAAAAACAGTTTAAAATGTTTTACCCTCTGTAGATACTTCTAATAATCTAATTGTATAAAGTCTCTTATTTTCTCGTCATTTTCTTGTTAACTAAGTTATTTTTTAAATTTACTAATCAAGCAACTTTACTTCCTTTTTTTTTTTTTCTCTTCTAGCGGGTGGGAGATTTTTTTTTTTTTTTTTTTTAATGGCTTTATGATCATGACACCAAGTTTTAGAATTTAAGAGTATTAAATATGGAAATAATACCGATGAAATCTTTCTAGTTTGTCACGACAATCTCTTTCTAATTCCACGAAATCATCAATCATTCAACCACATGATTCTCTAGCTAGAGGGCCTGTGTGGGTCACATGGCCCATGTGTAGTAAACGATGTATGGGTCTGTCTCAACTTGAAACACATAAAACAAATATATACATATTTGAAATTTTCATTCTAGTTTCATATTTGTGTTGTTGAATTTTTTAAAGAAAACTTAGAGATGATATAATCAATACTTGATGAAAAATTGTTGATCTGATCAATGTACCCAAAAACACAAACATCCTGACTGTTATGGTCTCTTCTTAAATTAATAGTTTTTTTATGTTTAAACGAATATTTTTAGATTTTTTTTTTGCTCATTTTCCGTCACACTTCGATTTATGGACGTCAATAAATGCCCAAGTTGTTAAAAAAAAAAAAAAAAAAAAAAAGAAAATCAATTTTGTTGAATGAATGGACAATTTGCATTTTTACTTTGTTTATTACAAATGAATATTTTTACAGAAATATCTCTTGTACGTTCATTCATGTGACATAATAATGGACTTTAAATTAAAATTAAGTCCTTTAATCTTACACATTTAATGATCCATACACATTGCGTGTAAACATTTTTAGTAAACTTTAGTTTACCTTGAAATTAAAGAAAAATACTAAAGGTGGTCCCAAAACAAATTTGTAATTTTATATTTATAAGTACTCTGGCTAAGAGTGACTTGAAAAAAAAAACTTTTTTTTTATTTTTATTCAAGTGTTAAAAAATATTTCATTGGCAGTTAAATTCGATATTTTTAAGAAACAAAAAGAAAAAAACTAAACAACCTGTCGAGACATTTCAGCTAAGAAATTTGGTCAAACTTAACCACTAACAAGTAGTATTAATTTCTTAAATTGCTAAGACTTAAAAAAAAACAAAAACAAGCTACGTATTGACTTCTGGCTTCGTTAATTATGAAAACGATGACGAATTAAAAACAGTTGTATTTGTTACTTTGAGAAACTAAACAAACTTTTAAAATTGAAAAACATAAAAAGTTTCATTTCTTTTTTTTTTTTTTTTTCCTTACAAAATGAATACGAAAAATCTACCCCATAAAATAAAATTTATTTGCTGTTTATGTTAAAAATCTGGATACATTTTCACTTTTCGTTTTTTTTTTTTTTTTAATTCTCGAAATTAAATTAAAATTTGAGTTTTCCCAAGTGATTGAAAAATGTCAGTTTTACTTTTGCCTTCTGGCTAGCAAAATGCAAATTTACTTTCTCAGTATTTTTTTCATCAAGTAAATGTTGAAAAAAAAATTTTGCCTGTTTCTGAAAATATATTTTTTGTTCTTTTATGAAATACACCGACTGAATGAAAAGTGAAATAGAACACGTTATTTAATAACGTGTTCTGTAACTTTTTTTTCTATAATCCCCACCCACTAAAAATGCTTAAAACTAGTATTTCGTTTGGTTCGAGAACCCCTTCCCCATAACTAGCCAGCTCTAAATAATCGTCTATGAGATTATCTTATATTGGCTATTGCAGTGAAACCAGTGGTTCAGGGCATTCCCTGGTGGCCAGGTTAGTATTTTTGTGCAAGGCTTAGCCCAGTTTTTTTTTTTTTTTTTAAGTCTATAGCGACTCCTGTCAGTCGAACGATCTGTTCATTCATCCCCTGACTAATACGAGTTTTACACTCATTGTATGCCTGGCAAGAAACTTGGGTTTCTCTCATCTCTATTCACTAACTACTTTTTTACTCGACACCTTCACGCGATAAATATCCTCTTTCGTTGTGTCAGTACAATTCAAACTCTCCCTAACATAAGGCAATGCGACGTGGCCGTCATATACCCTCCATCACTCTTCTAGCTTGAGGATCATGTGCCAGACTTGGCTAAGAAAATTAAAATGAAGAAGACCATTAGAATTTTGACACTAGATTTTTTTAAAAATTGTAAATTTCATTTTTAAAAGAAATTGCGGTCATACATAATTCGCAATAAACAAAAAAATGTTTGAAGGAGAACAAGCAAAAAAAAAAAAGGACGTTTATTATTACTTAGAATCAGAATGAGACCGTTGAAATTTTTAGGACTTATGAGGAAAGAAGGCTTGGAGAATTTGATGCTTTACAGGCCATATTGCAGGAAATAGGGACATAAAAACCAGTTTATTCACTAAAAAATTCAATCAGCACCTGACAATTGCATCGTGCATGAAACTTAGTTCTGCTACCGGTGAGGAGAAACATATATATTTATTTACCTTCTAATTTTCTATCTCTTTGTTTACATCGAGCATTATTTTTAGCCCGCAATGTGTGATATTTTATTTTGATAATAATGGGAAGAATAAACTATATACCAGCAGACTATTATTTTCATATTTTTTTCATTCGATCACCTACCATGATCGCGATTTATTTTACTTCTAAAAAGTATTTGTAATTAAGAAAAATAATCTCAACTTTAATACAAGACTGATCTTCACATTAGGCATTTTCTTCGTTTAGTCTGGTACAAGGCCATAAGAGTACCCAGTGAGGATCGAGCTAACCATTTTTTTTTTCATGGTGATGCGCCCAATAGCCGATACAAAGCCAAATGAAGTAAGATTGCATTGCACCAACCTTCCAAGTGAAGATATAGCATGTCTATCTTGAAAATAAGGAATATAGCTACATTTGCTAGAATTAGCTTAATCTGGCACAAGGCCATTATAACTAACATAGTGATTGGTTTGATAATCCATACACCATTTGATCTTCTTCAAATCAAATCAAACTTGCATTCAGTAAAAAAAAAAAAATCAAACTATAATGAAAAGCAGGAAGAAAATGATAACGTAAAGTGAAAGTTTAACTAACAACAATGTACACTTGAGGAAGCCCGAATAATGTATCGACCGAAAACGTAAAGAAACAAATAAGCAAGTAATGTAGGTGGCTAATTGTTTTTTTGTCAAATGAAGAATAAAAATACATTTGCAGTGAGTAGCATCTGAAATTTCATATTACGGAGATCATCATTTGGTGGTGGGGAAATTAATAACTAAGAATTCTTGATACATTTTACAAAAAAAAAAAAAAATTTTTGACGAATATAAAATTTTTACGCCTAAACATTAAGGTTAAGACCGTTAAGTAAAATAAATTTCGATCTTGTACGACGTAGTGATTAGTTTCTGCAAAACTTTTTGGGAACTTAAAAATAAAAACAAGTAGTTTTGAAACGCTACTTTGGTTTTACTTTTAAAATAACATTTTTAAGTCCTCAAAGTTTTGCAGTAAAAATAAAAAACAGTAACAATTTGAATACACGTAGAAGACTTTTTCTGTGCAGAGGACATGTTTAAATTTATCAGGTTTTGTCAAACATTCTTTCTTTCCAATAGACCGGGGCGAAATCGTCAGGACGGATATAACATAGTAAAGTTTTGGTGTAGTTAATTATCTCATGTTGTCCGTAAAGTACCTAAAAAAGTGTTTACCACCTTAGTTTCTTGGTACGCAAATGTTAGGGCTAAAAACGCTGACCTAGTGACTAGACCGACGGAATTAATAATAGGCTACGCCTCTTGTTTAAAACGTGATACATGAATAATTGGTTGATAATTTAATTTTCTTTTTCTTTTAAAGTTAAATTTGTTTAAATTTACGATTTTCTCAATTCAGTTACTAATCTTAAATTCGTATTTATTTAAATTTAAGCAGATTCATAGCGATGATAGAGCACAAATATTAGCGAATTGCTCTGCGAGACTTTGTAAGCCACAAGGTGGGTGTTTTTTTTTTTTAAATATTGCATCGCTTAGTCTGGCACAAGGTCTCAATAATGGAGCACCTAAAACAACATTGAATTCGTTGCAAGCTTTTTCGTTTTTTTTTTTTTTGTTTTTTTTTCCTTGTATTGAAGAGAAAAATGATTAAAAAGCCTTTAACACTCTGTTTAAGAAGTCCTTATTCAATTTTGATAATTAAATCCTTTTGGTAAAATCCCAATTAAGTCGAGTTGAAAATATGACAATTTAAATTGAAATTTGAATTATTCGTTGAAATGAAAATTGCTAAATATTTATTTAGGAACTCCACTATTAATCCTTCAAGTATAGTTATTTTTTTTTCTTTTTATAAATGATTCTTGCTTTTAATAAATAAAATTAAATTTATCAAACTAAAGATTTAAAGAATGACACTATGCCACATTTAGTTTTTTTGTTTGTTCTATTATTGTGTTGCTATTGTGCGTCATGGTTCCTTTAGTTTATTTATTTTTATTTTATGAAAAATCAATTCTACTAATCAAAGTAAATTATCAATGTTGTAGATATTTATTTGCTGCATATAAAAGCGTGGAATGGACGCACGCGCATTTCAAAAGCAAGATTCATTGTGCCACAC